ACATCTCTTGAAACTGGCTTCACGAGAAATCGTACATAAATTGAAGAAAGAGGCTGTCTTATTTTAATATTTCACATATCAATGCATCACGCAAAATTTAACATTAAATGTTATACTCCATAATTTTTCTGCGCCAAATCGACTGGCGACTGAGAGGAGTCTATGAAAAGGGTTAAAATTATTTTCTCAGTTTAATAATTTGTCCTCAACTGAATTTTAGACATTTTCTGTAGTTAATTTTATAATCGTTATTGGAAAAGTTAATAGTTCATATCTTCTTATCTTCAGACATCCATTATATCATCCAAGTGAAGCTATTTATTTTCAACATCATTTCGAATATTCAATGCTTTTAACACTAAAACTACCGAATACTTAAACTGGCTTTTGAAAATTTCTTCGTGAGAGCCACAATTGTTATTAAGATTTCAATTGGCTTATATATCAATTTAAATATTACTAAATCAGTTTCCGCAATAATTTCTGAAACAAGTACCTATGTCTTTTCAATAATTATAAAAGAAGAAATCGGGAATGGGTCATTTTTACTCATCTGGTAGTTCTAATGTTAAGGTATCAATAATTTAGAAATGAAACAATCGAAACTAATCATTTTGACTGGTACAGTAATTCTAGTGTTAAATCCGACTGTACACTTGCTAGTTTCATCAAGATTATTATTATTATTCTCGAATAACACATGAAGTCCGAGTAATACAGAGCGTTTATCGTTTCGCTCGAATTCAATTCCAATATTTATTTTTTTATCGTCCACGAGGGGCATCGATCAACGCTGATCGTTGGGCGGGATAGATACGGGCTTGAGGCGAGATTCGAGATATCGCGGTGCATTTATGGATCTCCTTGAAACTCGATACATCCGCAGCATTTTTCGAGACGTTCGATATTCATCTACGAATCGATCGAGTAACGCGCCTCCTCGCGCCCGAAAGACGCAGAACTAACCTGTGTACCGAAAAACGCATCGCGTGTAAACACCGTGATATCGCGGTAAGTAACAGATCGCTATCTAACGTAGTAACAGAATAAACTTTCGATTGTGCGAGCGAACACTTTTAACACTAGAACTACCAGATGCCTCAAAATGGCCCATTCCTGATTTCTTTTGTCACAATTACTGGAAAGGTACAGACGCTTCTGCGAGAAATTGTTAAAAAAGTAGATTTAGTGATACTTATACTGAAATATAAGCCAATCGAAATCTTAATACGCACAGTTAGAAATTTTATAAAGAAGTTTGGAAGTTATTTTAAGTGCTTGGTATTTCTAGTATTAAATACAACAAGCAAAGCCCAAAGAAGAAAGAAGGTACGCAGCGTTTTACGAAGCAATGCCGACCGATAAAACTAACCCCATCGACACCGTTTATCGAGTAAGTTATCCTACAGTTTCGATTGACACGCTAAATATTCACGGTTAAATTTAGTCTCGCATCGATCACTGGCAGATTCAATCTTTCCCATTTATATTTCAACGTTTCACATGAAAGTTCGATTTTTCGAATCGAACGGATAAATTATATATTAAACGATTCATTGGTTAATAAGCTACTCTGTACATACCGTATCTCTCACACTCGAAGAAACAAAAAATACTTTAAGTCATTGTTGTATTACGATTAAACGATCGGTGAATTCGTGTTCGTATCTCGATAAGAAACGTTCCTTATCAAGTGTACGTTTCAATACATTCAATAAGCTACGAATTTCCACGGGAATCCAGGGAATTCCATAGAAACGGATTTTCCTGGTAAACGTGTACTGGAGGCGTGCAGGACACGATACTCAAGCTACCGAAGCATATAAATAACGCTTTCCGAATAACAAGGTATGCGGTTAAGGTGGTTCCGCCGCATTCGAAAAAGGACAAAACGCCTGCTCGAAAATTCCGAATTACACGTTCCGCCGAATACACGGGCATCGCATACTCCGGTCCTCACTCTCACTTTCCTCCGTCGCGGATAAAAACGGCACGGAAGACAATGCGTGTCTGCTCGGTACCATTACCTTCGCACTCGAAACGGGTGTATCGATATTATCGCGCGAACGCGGCGGCGACGATAAATATTCTTTCCTGAAAACCACGAATCTAATCTGTCCCGGTAACCGCGACGGGGAAAAAATACCGAGGGGAGGAAGCGAAAGGAAAATAGAAGGGAGAAAAAGGAAAACAGCGCGTTCCGATATGTAAAAGCGGATGAACGGAAGAAAGTGTCCGGCGTG